TTCCGTCCTCACTTGTGATTGGTGAGTGGCACCAGACACCTCTCACACCACACCGTCGTCAATGCAGAAGTGTTGCATTGAAATAAGGAGAGTTAGGCGTGACTAGCAGAGCATTACCTACTCAAGTGGCTTCGAAAGGCCTTTGTTGTGTTCTCGGAGGCAATTCACACCAACACATCGTCACGATGCCAATACTATGAGTGGTGGGCAGGTTGACAAACAGTCCCCCCTCCCCTCCCCTCCCCTCCCCTAAATCAAATTCTCCCGTGCCAACACCACACATAGGCTGCAATCTCCCCCACCAACCGTTGGAATGCATAGGACAGCCAACGATTTGACCAACCGTACTTACTGCCTGTGTCTGTGGTCAATCAGTGGTGACGCTCACTCCACCAATGTTAGACGCGTGCATGACACTTGGAAGATGCGGTGTCTTCGTGAGACCTTTTGCTGTTTGGAGAGTAAATAGGGGGTCGAAGTAAGGAGGACTATCATTTGTCTGGTTTGCATTGACAACTGAGGACGAGGAGCATCGTTTGCTCCTCGAGAGTGGCGACAAAGCAAAACCACGGTGCAGGTGAGTGGTGGTGGGTCAGTGGGTGGCAAAAGCGATCACTCGTAGTGTGGTGGTGTATCCAGCCTCTGTGCAACGGTTGAGTGGCGAGTAATCCTGAGCAATTCGCATTATACGGTCACCAATGAACTACCAATATGGCATTTTGTGACGTAAAAACACCTATTTGGCCGTAAGTGCAGAATCGTGAGTAGTGGGGTCATAATATGAGGATGTTATTAGCGTGGCTTGCGATCCTCCACCCAAGAGAAAACAATCTCAATTAAAAATTGCAGGATCGTATTGTGCATATTATTCACTCCCCATCCTTGATGTGAGCGAGAGGGCCTGCAAAACCACCTCTCATGACGTTACAACTACTATGAAAGTTCGCACCAAGCCTTTATCAGTTTATGCACATCTGAATCTTCACATCTCTAAATGCCAGTTGCTCAAATTCTAGGGGATATCTGAGATTATTAATTTTAGAGAATGAATGAAGTAGGATATAGTTGGGAGCGAACACTTCGAAAAAGTTTATTTTTGTGCATAATTTTATCCAGTTGACCAGTTCTCTTGCATTGCAAAAAAATTCACACTTCACTAGCAAATTTCTATAGGAATGTTTGAATAATAGGCGATTTAGTGCACATTTTGCTACAGAGGAAATCAGATCTAAAGAGAAAAGCGTATTCTTTTATAGGAACGCTTAGTTACAGCATTTTCCGGGCATCGTTTACCCCAAAAAATGAGTGGATAACTTTACCCGTAAAAATTGACTCTTATGGGAAAAGGGCCTCTAAGGGATCAGTATTCAATTGCAAAGATCAGATAAAAAAGTTGATCGCTCACTCTGTCATGCCCCAAGAGTCCGATTTCCAAATCACCAGAAGCAGAACTCCTCTTTGATGGCGGTTGTTTGGACTTTGAGGGACGCTTAGAAAAACGGATTCGAACGTTGGGCAAGATAGAGGCAGCTGAAAATTGGGCATGAGGAGGTTCGCATAAGCTTCTTTCGAACCGATTCCACAAATTATCTTTAACAGTCAATGTGTTTTCAATCTCCGTCACTCACATAGCTGGAAAATTGTCCACGTTCGAATTGTAAAATAAGTTAGCACCTTTTACTTCAGCAACAACTTCTTAAAAAATAGGCCAGTTTAACGGCTCGAGCAATGTAAGGAAGTTTTAAAATCGAACCTACTCCTCTAAAGCCTGCCTTACCTTAAAAAAAGACAAAAAGTCCCTCCTTATGTTCTTTTACGATACCAAAACGGCATAATTGTGTGAACAAAATTGAAAAAAATGTTGGAGAACATTTAAGCGAACAGTACTTTAAGTTGACGACGCCAAATTTAAATTCTTTTCTGCCATTAACTCTGTTTCAACTTTTTAAATACCCTGAAAGGTGGATTTGAGTTGCCATGGCACGGGAAAAGTAATAAAAAACATCTTACAACTTAAAGCTGGCGTTTTTTTCCCGATGTCCGGCACGCTTGACATAGTCCGTTGAGGTCGCTGCGCTTTAGATTTCCCTACGACTGCATCAGCCTGGGACTCACGTCGGCTCCCTTGGTCCTCCACACCTATGGCCTGAGTCCTACTGAACGGACTGATCTCAGCGAAGGTGCTTCTCCGTCCTGAGGGAAGAGACATTCGGGAGTCGGTTGAGCCGTCAATAAGATTAGCAAGACCATCGCTATCGCCCAATCGGTTACCGACAGGAGGTTTTTGATCGTCAGAGCCTGTAAAACTGGTGTCTTGGAGGGGCCAGGAGATAGAGAACTGAGGTTTGGAAGTGTGAGGTCTACAATAGAGAAAGAAAAAAAGATAGACACTGGCATTTGTCATTGAGACTTTGTGCCCTACTTCAATCTATGCGAATGGAAGCCTTCGATGGGATTAGTTTATCCTGCTATCCCTAGCATAGCATAATGACTTTGCGTGATTCGAGTCTTGTGGTTCAAATTCTTCCTAAAAATTATTCTCAGTTACTCAGTCTATCCGCTTAACCACAAGCTGTGTTCGAAGTAGGAACGTAACATCCTGCCGCTCTCACAACGTCTTTGGATCAGTTATCCAATGAGGAGGTTATAATGACTCAATTAAAAACTTCAATCAAACGGTATAAGACAGTTGCAAGATTATTAAGGCCAACAACAGAATCAAACGTGGTAGCATGCAAAGCGAGTATGTGGAACCAAGCCTTGACTGCAAGTTGAAAAGTTGTTTTCTGATTTTCTTATATCTCAAATTGTCAAAGTAAAATAGAACAACATTAAAGGGTCGTCAATAATGTGAATACCTATCAAAAGCAATATGTTTCTATTACGGTCGGAGGTACCCCCATTTCCCGTGCAGTACTTATGCAGAGCCATCATCCACTCCGAGAGAAATTTATTGTAGCCCAATTTAAAACTTGAGCATCACGCGTTGAGCAAATTCCTAATATGGGCTTTAAATTTGGCACGTTTTGCTACAGAAGAGAGGCTTATCACCTTTGAGGCGTTTAAATGGTTGCAGACAATGGATACACGCAAAGACGCACAATGAATGCAGACATTAGCTTACAAGGCAGTCGTGCCTTCCTTTCTACGTGAATTGTTGAGAATGGATTTGTAAAGCACCTTACCTACGCTATTTCGAAGGCTGCCAAAAGTTAAAATGCGGTTAAGCGCGATGGCGTGACCTCAAAAGCTTCGTCAATCCTTTGAACCCGGCTGGGAAGACTAAGATTGCGACGTCACCTCAACTATTCCGACGACCATGCCCGTTTTGCAGTGCACACCAACATGTATCAACGAGGTGTTCGACAGGTTATTTGGCTAGCTGATGATACTTTCTAGATCAACATGCAAAGATGATCACAAAGGGATGAAGCAAAAGTTTTGAGCTTCCTCCCGCAATTCGTAAGGCACTATAACACCTCATCGGTTCTTGCAAGAGACCCCAAACATCATATCGCCTTGGAGATTACAAACATGAGCAAGTACTTCAAAAAAGAGTATGATTTAAGCGTTTCCCACACAGAGTATTTTCGAAAAGAACACACTGATAATCTGAAATTTGGTTTAGCTGTGCATTCAACTATTCAGCCAATTCAGTCGCCACAGGTTGTGCACTCACTTTGTAACATGGAACTCTTTCGAAATTCAAGTACCAAATTTTTACTTAGGTTCAACGATAGTGTACAAGGTGAATTCCAAGAAACCCCATCAAAATTGACCAGTACTGACATATTATTCTTCACAGACAGCGGTGGAAGGTACCTACACCATTTCTTCGACTTCTACAGATTGCGCAAGATGCTAGGTGATGTAGTGCACACATTGTCTGCTGTGTAAAGTGAAATTGTAATGGACCACAAAAGTAAACTAACTGTAGTGAGCAAAAGGATGCAAGTGAGGGCGTTCAGGTAGCCACAACTTCCCCATCTCCGTTTTGTCCACGCCAATAAACGCTTCTGTGCAACCATTAAACAACTTTGGCCTGGCACCGGCAATTAGCATACCATTACATACCTATAGTGCAGTTGAAATTTACTGCAATAAGACTAAACTTAGTGGAAAGTGGTCAGTTAAAACGCCCAAACTGACGGCAGAGCAAACTAGAATTCAAATGAGCATATGTACTTGCCATAGTTATCAGAAAGGTGACAAACTACCGTAGAGGTGGTCGCAAACTCTGTGTGACCTGAATTTATTAACGTCACCTTAGGGAACGGTTTATAAACAGCTAATTTCAGCATAAATGATTTGGCAGTCTAAGTCAATTAAACACTGAGACCACCAGAAATTTAGACGAATTGCTTCATCAGGGAAATTTCACCATTGCTGAAGGAGGGTGAAAACACACTGCAAACAACAGTAGGCGCTTTAAGCCGAGACATGGTATCTGGAAATCTTTTATATTGGTTAACTTTGAGAGTACGCAAATCACTCTCCAATATTTGTATTGCTGCATTAAAATGCGCATCTATACTTCTTTGAGGGACGAATGAATTGAAAAGGAGACAAGGTTATACTAACAACTCACGTTACGCTGTTCTTCATAAAATGATCGGTAAAAAAATGATAAGCAACCCAATGGGGCGATACAACTGAGAAAATGAGTTACAATTGACCTGAGCCTTTGAAGGTGTAACTTGAATGTTAACTATGATCCAATGGAGCAGATTTGACTACAGAAGCACAAGGCCAGAATTGACAAAACGAGCAGAACCACGAGAGGCCTGATGCTGGGTGCACGAAAATAGGAGTAAATTTGGTCAAAACAGTAAGCATTAAATAGTGGACCTCACGGTGGAATGTGAGCGCTACCAACTAGATTTTTTCATTAGTACCTGCATTTGCCTCCAACTTAAGTAAATCAGACACGTAAAACGTAATTAGTCCCAGCACAAATGCTACAGGAAGGCGTCCGCGACACTAATGAAATTAAGGCCCGAGATCTGAAGTGAAAATCGCTAAGACTTGCAATTAATAAAGGATATGCTTTTCCGCGTAAACACTTGGTGGGATTTCCGATACTCTTACTGGAAAGGCCATGAAACTCATATCCTCAGCCTAGGCCAAAGTAGACGAAAGCACGAACTCACACCTACCCTCTTCGAATGCAAACGTGTTCCTCCAAACAACAGTTGGTATCGCCAATGTTTTAAAAACACTAAAAGTTTCCCCATGGAGATCGCAGTGGCCCAGAGAAATGGCGATGAAGAATGGGTAGAATGTAGCGTCTTTTGGACAAGTGTAACAACAGAACTGAGCTTAAAAAGCACATACACCATGCGCCACCTCTGTGCCTAAATTTGGTCTAAGTACCTGAATGCAAACCAAGAATCACTTCACTTTCAAACAACTTATACTTTGGTGAGGCATAGGACATTTCATAATGGAGAAGCACTTTTGTCACAGACCAACAAACTGGCAATCAGCACTGCCTAACAAACAATGAGACAGCAGTCATTTGAAAGCAGAAGGAGGTTGAAACCAGGAAGGCTTCCAAAACTATGATTGTTCCTTTACTCCAGACAGGGTTTGATAAGTGACTGCGAAAAAGAAAATAAATAAATCATCTTATGACGTTCGCCAGCTCTACAAAACAAGATTTGTGAGCTCAACTGAAGGTAAATCCTGCCCGCAAAGATCGACCTGAAAATCCCAGTCTTCCATTCATGATGGCTGTAAATACTCCCTCTGCGGTAGGAGAATTGTCTTCTGAAGGGTATCACCAATGATTTTGAAGACAGCTCAATAGAAAGCCTTAAAGTTTGTTCAAGGGTATAAAAACTAATTGCGACATAGGACCGTTAAGTTCATGCATGAAGAGACTTTTTCAAGTAAAAAGGCTTGGGTTGTTTAATAGAACATTTGTTCTTATGGGACTGCACTACTCGGAAATGAACGTTGGAAATAACTCCGACTCTCACCTGACCGGATCTTTAAATGGGAAAATTGTTGAAAAAAATATTGGATGTCGTTACAGGGATAATACAGGGATATAAAGGAGCTCACTACCACCCAATTTCAAAGAGTTCCTTGCCGAAACAGATGCACATTTACCGTTTTAGAAGCTACAGTGATGAGTTTTTAGCCATGCCTATTCTGCAAGCACAACTTAAAATCTCCACTTTATCTTGTTACCATAATATGTAAATCTTAAAGCAAAACTTTAGCAATCCTAAACGGTGTTTCTCAAGGGTAAGGAATAATGATGCTTTGTAAAGGCTCCGCATTGCCATTAATTTAAAGGAAAAGGACTACTACTTCAAAACAGCTCGTCAAAATTTCTGCCTCCGACAACTTACACATCCAAGTCGCCAGCAATGTTTACACTGAGATATTTGAAGATATTGCGCAGAAAGAAGGGCACAATACTAGCCGAGAGATGCTTCTCCTCCAGGATCCAGAGTTGCGATAATTCCAGGGTTTTACGGTAGCCTAGAATGATGAGCCTGTGAAGAAAAGAGTGAACACGAAAATGGCACCTACCTTGTGACCCAAAAGAATGTGATTCTGGACGGAAAAGAGACGTACTTCTCTGGACAGAGAGTCTAAAAAAGCAATGAAAAAAAGTAGGAGAATAATATTGTAAAAGAACCTCGGGAGGAAGTACTAATGTTTGCTTGTGACCATTAACCATAGCATCCAGAATATACCCGTGATGAAATTTGATAATTTTTGACATTAATTCCAGTTATTTGTGAGAAAAAGATTGTAAATCGCTCACGACATACAATCCAGACATAAGCCTTCTTCATCACCATACGACCTCAACAATGAATAGCCAAGATATTCCCTTTCTCTTAGTCAAAATTTAAAGGCAAAAATAGAGAAAAGGTTAATCTAGAGAGAGTGATGGCACACAATAATAGGCACAGTGGACGCCCAACCAGCAGCACTCGAGGTCTGAAGAGACTCCAGGGTCTCTTTTGGAATGGGTACAAAACATCTTCAAGTTCCCACCTAGGGCAAAAAAGTCTCCTGTTTCGCCAACATGTCGAAATTTTAGCCCACGTCGACGAAAAGTATTGTTCTCGATCAAATATTTCTGTTTTAAGGACCAAATCATCGAAATCGAATGAATGGGGAGAAGGAGGAAAAAACCACCACGGCCAAAACGGTGTCGAGAAATCCAATCCAGCGAGAAATTAATATTGTCGATGAAGTTCAGCTTAGGTACCCAACTGGGGCTTCAAACCAGCTTCTCACCTCCCGATACCTAGCTCAGACTTCCTCGCGCCTACAAAAGTCGGAGTACGTTCTGTTAAGCATTTAGAGCTATTTGTCACCTCTGGTTAATCTGGCTAAGGTCTTGATAAGACAAGCAAACCAAATTCAAACCAGAGGAAACTTTAAGTCTGCATCCTAAAATTGTTAAGAGTTTCAAAAGTTACGGGCTGATGACTAGGCCAGCCTGAGATTGCGTAAAAAATCTTCCCAACGGGTAATTAAAGAGATGGCGCAAACAATCCAAACCATATTTCGGTTCAGACTTAAAAAGAGAACATCTGCTTCTTATGCGAATACACCGAACTCGACTTCTCCCAAATCTTTCTTCGATTCAAATCCTTGAAGCACTACAACAAGCATCTTCTGTATTGACTCAAACCTGGAGTTCTGTTAAGTACAAAGTACTATTCATCCCTGAACTTAGTCCTTTTCAGATCGTAACGACTAGAAATTGACAACATTGGCTTTAACTGTGGAATAAAAACGAAACTACGAATTTTGCGAATCTTTCATAGGTAATTAAATAAGGATGACATTTCAATCGACTTCAAGTACCCCACTAAACAATGAAATGAATTTTTTCTAGCGATCAGCACTAATTGCTTCCTACCTGAAAATCACATCCGATTGAACCTAGTTAGGGGAGTCAATTTCGAAACCTTAATTGAACCGAGCATCCGAAAAAGGATTTCCACTTCATACATAAACCATCTTGAAGCGTCAATGATGCATCAATTTCATCAGTGACGCAACGCCGCAGAAAAGAAGAGAAACAAGTGGGGAGATTGAAGCCACAATGGGAAAAATGAAACAAATCGGCTTTGTTTCCTGTTACTACTTCTTCTTGCTCCCCTTGCTCTTTCCTCCCTTGGAGGAGTCGTTTTTCTTGGATTTGGACCCTTTCTCCTTGCTACTCTTGCTTTTTGATTTTTCCTTCCCCTTGGACTTTCCGGTGTTCGCATCCTCGTCCCCACCTCCACCTCCCAAAGCCTTCAAAGCCGCTTTTACTGCCTCCTCTGACATGTCATCCGGCAGTGCCGGTGGCATGGGCTTCGCTGTCATATGTAGCTCCAAAGCCACAGCATGCAGACTCCTAGCATGATTATGCTCATGGCTAAGGAAGACCAAAAATCCATCCATTGTCTCAAATCCACTAGAAAAATCCATATTGCACAATCCACATTGCAGGAATCGTGGTGCAGTATGAGCTACAAGGATGTGCGCTTGTAATTCAAAATCTTCTTTGTAGATCTCCCAACACGTAGCACATGTGGTGGCACAGCAAACATATTCCTGCAATAATTCATTTTTTGTCCAATAATCTGCTAAACACCGTGGAGCATGAGCATGCCTAGTGAAGACGTGTTTGTCGAACCCTTCCTCGGAGGTGCTAGCCTCGCCGCACATGGCACAAGTGAGGAGCCGTCCCCTCAGCTCCGATTTCAGGCCATGCCGGCAGAGCACGTGAGCGTGAAAATCCCAATTAGTTCTGTAAGTTCTGCGACAAAGAAAACAGGTGTAAGGTTCACGCAGATGCGTGCATTCTTGTACGGCTTCGCGGGCAATAATGCGATAAATGGGACTATGGTCGTTAGCACAATGTTGTTCAAGCTTAATTTCTCCCATCTTCAATTCCGCAGACTCTGGCTTGAGCAACTCACTAAGTTCAGCGTCTCTAAGGGCCATTCTGTATTGTTTTACAGTCTCAAAATCCGCGTTCGGTGGCGGAGGTGGAATCTTCGTATTTGATGGCTGTGGAGGCGATTCTTCAAAGTGAAAATCACATAGTCCACACTGCCCTCTTGGACGGTCAGGCCGATGAAAGGCAAGGAGGTGAACCACCAAATCACTGCGCGATTTTAAAGCTCTTCCTCGACAAAAGAGACACTGAAAGGGTGCTCCTCCTTTAAGAACGGGAACCGATGTGTTACGGATGATGAAAGAGGTCTTTAAACTGCAGCATTTGTGTGTAGGGCCCCATTTGAGGGGAATCCGTTCGCGGCAGAGGCGACATAGGTGGCTGAGGTCAGTATCACCTAAATTTTGAGATGCATGAGAGAGGAGAAGAACGTGAGATTGGATAGCAGCAGCATCGTGGAGTTGAAAGCAGCAGAGATAGCAGAAGTTGTTAGGACAGGTCTGTACAGCGACGTCAACGGGCGAAGTCTCTTCAACCACCTTTTTCCCACTTCCTTTGGATTTGCTCTTGGCGGCGTCTTTGCTCCCTTTGGACTTGGACCCCTTCTCTTTATTCGAACCTTTGCTCTTCTTAGCCATCCCAACTGAGAGTCAAGACCTGGATCCGTGTAAAATTAGGGGTTCGAGAGAAATAACAGATAGATAGAAGGGGAAAGAAGGGAAGTACCGTGACAGATAAGGCTGACATGTGCCACAATCGATACGCCACGTGTCCGTCACACCGCAACTTCTATCAGTGATGCGGGAGAATGGTCTGTTTGGATCAGAAGCCTGTATCGATGCAAAAGAGCTTTCAAGAGAACTCAATATTCCTGAATGGAATAAGATGATTCAAACAGCCGCAACAAACTTTGCAAATTCAATTGATAAATTCTAAAGTGAGATCATGACTTCGAGAACCTTGTGTGCAGACATGTGAGCACCCAAACTGATGGAGTATTTGAGGATTTTTTTGAATGGAGAAAGGCTATTAACGTTGAAATTGTGAAATAACTATTTGAAGCATTTGAGCAGAAAAGTTCCTCGATTGGTAAGGTGTTGCCAGCTAAAAACCATTGAAATATAGTTAAAAGCGAACTGAAATGTTTACCCGAGATACTGAATTGCCTCTTGATGGTAAAATAGTCGACTACCTTTTAAAAAGTTCTCATTCATGCACATGAGGGTGCAAGTAAATGAATAATGCTGATTCTAGTCAAATAGGATACGAAAACACTACTGCAATATTATCTGAAGGTTGATAAACTACCACTTTAAAGTGGGTTAAAGGAGACAACTGTCATCCGGAGTTGAAGTTAAGCGTGGACGTAGTTCCCACCTTATTTTTCCTTTTAACCCCTGAAACTGTACTTTTATCACGGCATTACAACAAGGGTGCGGTGAGCGGATTGGAAGATAATTTAGGGGATAACTTCATACCAACTTCAAAACGCATGTTTAAGCATTCACAACAGCACTTCCCAGTCCCTCAGTTACCCTCAAACCCATCTGGTTCAAATTGGTGGATTTGTCAGTCATTACCCGAGGCAGAGGCGGGTTGATCGCTCACATTCCGTATTCAAGCCCCAACTTTGGAAAACAAGACTGTCAGCTCTTGGCGCGATTAATTAGTTTAAAATGACTCCTTTACGTAGACTATAAATCAGATGAATTGCTTTCCGTCCTTGAGGCAGCAGCCTTAGAAATAAGGACATGAGGAGCGCTGTCAAGCTGATCTGTTACTCTACTCTTACATATCATACTCAGTATCGTTGTGACAGCGCTGCGAGGAGCGCAAAGTATAAATCTTCCTACTCCGCACAATGACAGGAGCCACAAGTGATGTAAGGCAGTTCAGTTAATCCTTTCCCGAGGAGCAGTATGACCAATTGGCGTTTGTAGACAAAAGCGTAAAGTGGTCAACAAATTAGCAAGGCCAGGATCCACAAGTGTCAACTTCTGTAGTAAACCACAAACACGCTTTGAATGATGGGGCCTGGGTCGATAAACAACTCAACAACGGAATGCTTGAGTGGTGATGCACCTCAAACACTTCCAGTGCACCCTTGCACGTCAACAACGATCTGATTTGTGATAGTAGTGTAATTATCATTTGCAATCAAGTTGTACAGTGTAAGCACAAGCACCCGAAAACGCTTATGATTTTGAAAAGGTAGTGCAGCTAGATGGGTTCTTCAAAGATGTTTTGGTATAGAGACAAAAGTTTCCACGTCACAGATGAATCCTAAGATGGTAAAATGAATAGTGCAGCACAAGCATGAATTTGGCAAAAAAGAACTATGTTAGAAAAGCATCCTTAATTTTCAATCCGCGAGCATCCAGTTCTTGACCTAAACTAATCCTTCGAAACCTCCTACCACCTTCCATAAGCCATAGCTCTGATGACTGCCCGATGAATATTTTCTAACTACACTTTCTCTGTCTTTCCAATCAATCGTCCAACTTACCGCGGTTGGTTTTGACTTGTTAGTACTGCTTGGTTTACTATCACCACCCTTTATAGGCTTGTCATCACTTGTGACCAGATCAAAATCGGGTCTATCAGAGGCGAAGGCAGGGCGGGTGAAGAGGGTGAGTGAAGGAATTGGCCGATCAGAGAAAAAAGCAAGAATCAAGTTGAAGAAGGCAGACGCGCAGAACAGGTGCTCGATCAAATCCTGTGGCGTTACGGCCAGACTCCAGCCAGGTGGTAGAGGCGGGCTCGAAGGGCCAGGCAACTAGAGCAAAAGAAGCTGAATTAAGTATTTTCCTGGGGTGCTTTACTTTGGCTACAAACTGACAGCTGTGTTTAACAGTGATCATTGTAGACATGCATTAGTAGTGAGCCAGACGTTAACCTTTCGACGATGGTTTCGCCTAGGCGACAGGAGATCTCTGGTATAAGGTTCAGAATCAAACTTTTCAGCATGGACCTTCCAGTTTCATCCCATTAGATACGACAAAAATGCCATGACTTTGATAACTATCCCAGAGCGTTCTATCATAATTTACTCGAATTGAGAGTTAGTGTTTTTATGCGACCGAGGTGCAAAAATACCCAGATTAGTCAAAATAGTTGCTTGTAATTCCAAAGTACCCGTTCGGAATTCAACTCACTGCTTATTTTTCCTAACAATATTTTACTACTACAAGATAGCCAATGAGTCCATTTACTTATTGAAGGATAATCAACGATACATACAAGCATCTTTTTGCCGGCAGTCAAAAGTAAGAATCGCCGAGCTTCTAATAAAACTACTTAGTTAATTCAATTTCAACATTCTACACTATGCTGACGGCTTAGGTTTGAATTACCTTCCTGACAGACCTTTAAACTCTTTGACATTAGCATTACTTCAAATCCAACCCAATGACTGCTCAGTCCTAGGAGTGTCAAGCAAACAGCAAACTAATTTTAGAAAAAGGCCTTCAAGAACTCACAGATACAACAATATTTAAAATAATGTTCGGCAGTGAGCAGGAAAACTACAAATGAAGCGATTTTGGTTTGATTTTGTAGGACCGTCTAGGCAACAACTGATAACGTCTTTAGCATAAAGGGATGGCTTGCACGATCAAATATAAACGATAACGCAGAAGTGGATAGAACTGGTCAAAGGAACTTAAATGAATGCAGTCCCAAACGCAATAGCTTCATCCGATTGGAAGCAAAATCACCTTTAGCCCTCTACATTACAAGATTACCCGTAAACGTTATCGTGAGCTTGACCCAAATAACGAAGGGAGAAAAGTAGGAGGAGAAAGAGGTGATCTGATTACACGCCTTGTGAGTAGATATGAGACAAATAAATAATAACCCGATCCGAAAGATTGATGTAGAATTAGGGTTAGATTATCCTCCACTTTCTTATTGCTCAACCTGGTAGTAAACAAAAATGAAAGCACTATCCACTCAAATAAGACCTCCATTTTGAAGCTGACTGAGTGAAAACTCGGCCCGAAATCTTGAAACCTGTTCCATTCTATCCTCATTCTTCCATCTAAAACCTAACCCTCATTGCTATTGCCCTGTCCGTTGCACATGATCTAAAACTAAGACCATAGAAACGAAGTTGACTATGAAGAACGAAAGGAAGGTAATTTGGCTACTGTTCACCGTTGATGCCTGTTAACACGAAGACTAGACAAATCCAAAATCCCCTTGTTTACGCTAAGTCGGGTCCAGTGGAAAGTAGACTCTCACTCTGTCTGGCTGGGCCAAAAATTCGAAGTAGGAAAGACTTTATTAACAATTCATAGTGCATGTCTTCTTTTTAACTGTGGGAGTGTGAACCAGTTTCGTTACAAAGGAAAAGATAACGGGAACTTCAGATTATCGTTCTACTGGAACGGGACTTTCCGAACAAAACAAAGGCAAAGGAAGGGGAACCTCTGTGGGGCCCCAATCGATTGCCTATCTTTCCTTTTGCGCCAGTACTGCCACCACAGTACTTCCTTAGAGTTACATGACCTCTGAATTGCGTCAGTCCTCCTCTGCGTCAGCAAAACATACTCTATTCGAATATTCCGTCCCTTGATCCTCCTGAATAGCCCGAAAAACTACATCTTCACACAGGAGGAAATGAATATCCTCACCGACTTCCGACTTTGAAATCGGTGGTTTTTGAACACTTGTAGTCCAAAATTGTCACAACTTAATCAATGCTTGTACGTCAAATCCATTCTGATGCATAAACGACTGGATCCCCCTCACATGTACATATGCCAAAGTCGTGGTTCCTCTCAGTGCCTTAGAATGTATACGCATTGAAACTCCTCGCCTCGGCTATATACATCAGTCCTGTTCCTCAAAATTACAAGAGCATGCCTTAGTAGGATTGAATGATGAAATCAAACTAAATGAAAACGCCGCGATGGTAATTACGAAGTTGGTCCGACCGAGTATTTCAGAAAAAAATCAGTCGGAAGGCCAAGCGGTTTTCATTATTAATCGGTCTTTTCCTCCATCAATCATAAGCCGATCGTACATTTCACTAAGGCCACCCAAGTACTTTAAATTTGTGGGTTTACATTAGACGTTTCTGTGATTTTGCAACAAGCGATAGCATGAAGTTTGCATCACTACACACTAAGAGTCATCGTACATATTGTGAACCAACTCACTCCCTTCTAGCCACTAATCATCAATGGCAAGCCACATTCGGGACAGAGCCTGATGCCAGGACACTCAAAGAATTGCAAGTACGGCATCTGTCTCAAAGGCCCCAATCGCACCTCTACCCGTCAGTAAAGAGCTTAGTTGCCTTGATGGAATGTTCGCCTAGTCCCAAGCATCAGATCGTCACATTGTCATGCGTCAGTTTCTGGGTCGCTACAATTATTTACAACCACTTGCACTTTCAGTGTGGAAAAGCATTCTCCTAAGCGGTTTATTCGTATGGACAAATGCCTCTTCGGCAAAACTACATATTAAGAACTAGATGAGCGGTACCATGCAGCAATTGTACTAATCTTTATCATTTTAATATACGAGCTTTCGTATAAACTGGCCCTTTACACTGATCCCCCAACCATTGCATATTAGCAAACGCCCTATGGTTGCATAAAATACCTCTCTTTTAAGCCCTGAAACATTATTC